TAGAGGTGATATAATAATGATTATAGGAGAACAGAAAAAAAGTAGAAAGCTCATGGATTTTGATTATAGTCATTTTGTAAAAACATGGCAGTGGATCATTGTATGTGAGTAGACACAGCAGGAGAGGGAAAAAACTCCCGTGCTGTTTACATTTCCAGTCATTCCTAACAGTGCGTTTGTGTAAACCCACTTGTATGCTCATATATTGTGTGTGGGTACTGTGTGCAGTCTTAGCTCAGTCCTTTACTTGTAGCTAACGTTAAACCAGTATTTTACTAGGGGAAAAGAGGTTTTGCTTTCTCGTTTACTAATTATTTTTTTCAAAACAAAATGAAAAATAATTAAACTATGTGTTGTGCTCTCAGAGTAGGGAAAAGAAAAATAACATTAAAAAATAAGTGTGAATGTATATCTGTGGTCCTGTATTATCTGAGTAAGGGGTGTAGTTTAGCACCTCATTGTTTTGCAAATGTTGTACAGCTTAAGTAGTGCTCAGAAGCTAAAGCTTCTGAAAGGAGTCTGCTAGCCTAGGTGCAAGGGCACTGAGATGAGGCTACATTTGAAGCCACACAGCTTACAATACAAAGTTAACTTGTTAAAGAAGGTGTTAGAAAATGAGAAGGTGACATCCTGAGGCTGCTTATCCCAGCTTCAGGGCCTGATTCCCAGGACCGTCTTAAGTATTTTGTGTGAACACGTCACTGGATGATGTGCATAGTGAGTACTCCTTTCAGCTGTCAACATTTCTCTAGTCTCAAACACGAAGAAATTCCTTTTTCTTGTCTTCTAAGTTTCGTTCCTTCAGGGCATACTTCCATGGAGTTATTAAAGATTTTTATTATCCTTTCATTACTGTATTACATTTGAGCCTTAAAGTGTGGTCTGGAATTCAGTTCTGGACAGAATCGTTTTTTCTTTGTCCCTTAATTCTGTTGTTTTAGCAAGGCAGAAAATACTGCGGACACTGCCATAAAATTTAAACGGTTAATGTAAAAATCTTTTCCCAACTGTGACAGGGTAATATCAAAATGTTCTGTTTATCTATTTCTTAATGAGAAATAAGGAGTATAATAGATATTAAGAGATTGCCTGGGGCTAATGTGTTTGAGATCCATATATTGAAAGCTTCTAATGTTTAATATATTATAAACTAGCAATGTAGGGTGATTTTAGAGAGCTTAAAAATATTTGTGGGTTTTGGTAGTGGTTTTCGGTTTGTTTGTTTATTATTTTTTTTTTTCCCACTAGATTTTCGTTGGCTAATGAATACAAATACATTGATACATTGCACTTTTGCAGTTCATGTCTGTTCCCGTATGAAATTCATGTTCAGACAGAGAGGCCAGTGCACATTTGGGCAATGTACTTGCAGGCAGGCAGTGAGGTTCATTGTCCTCTTGTGTCTGCGGAAAGCAATCAGGAAAACATCTGTGCTTAGCTAAGAGCTGATTTTAATGGGTCGGGTTCAGATGTTGGCAGAAGGCACATGCTTCAAGAGCTGTGAAAGGATGGTTAATGGATTGTCAGCTTTGGAGCCTGACCATTAGCTGGGAGACACAATACTTATTTACAAGACAAGCAGGAAGCAGTGGGAGTCTATATGGCTGGGAGGAACAGGAATAAAAAGTGACAGGGTAAGTGGCACTGAAATGCTACTGTCTTCCTTGCCAAGGGGGGTGAAGAGAATAATGCCATCAGCTCAAGCGCTTAGTCCTACTCCAGTTAAAAGTAAACAAACCCCCAAACAAATTAAAACAAAAAAAAAAAAAAAAAGAGGGAAAAAAGCCCTCTAGCCGTTTGGTGAGGGAGCTTCCTTCTGAAGTTTGTAGCTAGTCATTACTCTTCAGGAGCAAGGATTGTGCAGGTTTACTGAAATTGTGCTACTAAGTGGCTAAATTTTCAGCTATTCTTATCACAGGTGTGTGGCTGCCTTAAAGCTGCATTTAAAACAGTAATCAGTAACGGTGGATATTGCTAGCAGCTGGGTTTGCTGCTCTTTTAAGAGCCTGGGGGGATGGTGTTTTGTTTTTTTTCTTCTCCTCCTTTTGGCAGGACTTGTTGAATGTAGGGCCAAATGCTTGATGGGGAGAACTACAATTGCAAGTTTGTTTTCTTGATATGCTAGGACTTGATTATTTGGCAGTTCCTTCTCTTTTTATGCGATATTCCTGGGTTTCTGTCAAATATCTCTAACAGAGGCTAGGAAAGTGAAGAATATTTTCCCTCCTATTTTTCAGGAGGGTAAGTGTGCTTAAACTCTCAGTAACTTTTGAAGTGCTTTATGAAAATGAGAGTAGAGTGTTTTGCAGCTGAAGATGGGAGGTGGTTTCCACTTTCTGGAGAAGCAGGCTCCTCTGTTTTGTAAATAGCAGGCCTGGATGGACAGGTCTGAAAACTGGTTATTGGAAAGCAGTCCTGTACCGTGCCTTCGAATGAAGGGAAGTTTCATAACAACCACTGCCAAGGCATCTTCTGGCTCCTGTTCCTCACACTTGTACAGTCATAGGGGTTTTGACCTCTTCCCCATTGTTACATTGTAGCTCGGTTCCTTAAAGGAAGGAAGATTATGGGCCTTTGTTCTGTCTGTTCAGTGGCCTCTTGTCTTGCTGCAAGTTCGAACTTCTGGCCAATTGAACCACAGTTAGCAAAGGGTGTTAAGTTTGGTTGAAATGTGTCTGGGTGGAGAAGGAAAAACCTATAGTTGTCTACAGAGTGCTTTTGACTCTTAATTCAGTGTCTATTAGACATCATAAAGTCCACTCCAGTGCTCACTTGTAAGAGCTAGTCTAACACTTAAGCTAAATCTTAATTTGTTTACCAGAATTGCTTAAAATAATAAAAAAACCCCTGCATCATAACACACACAAAAGCTCACCTATTCAGATTTAAAGCATAACAGCCAATAACTTTAAAATATGTTGAGACAGATAGCTTATTTTTGACAGATGTGCAAGTGTTTTATTATGCCAGTTTTTGAGCAACATGTTTTTTAGTGTGTGGGGTCCCAGAAGGCTGCTTTTCTTAGGTTTTTGTTGCTGTACGGTTAGTGGCAACGGGAGTTGGAAATGCTCGAGTGAAGTATGCTTTTTTTTTCACAAGCAAGAAGTAATAAACCCCTGGGACCTGGAAAAAAATTGTTCTCACTTTAGTTTGAGAGAACAATATCTGCACTAAACCGACACATTAATTGAGTCTGGCAGCCTCCATTTAATTGTGACTCATTGCAAATGATAGAGTCAGCTCCTCAGTTACAGTTCTGGTTGTGTAGAGTGAATAAAAGAAAATGGGTAGTACGCATATTACTTTTCCCCTTCCCGCCCCCTCCCCCCAAGACAACAACAACAACAAAAAAAAACCAACCAAAAAAAACCCAAACCCTGCAATTTTGGATATTTAAAGATTTGTGATGTTCTTGATGTTCTTTTTTTTTGGGGGGGGGAGGGGGGTCAATCTATTTCACTGATTTTTAGACACAATAATTTTAGAATTTGTCTATGAAATTCAGTCTCACAACTTATGAGATGTTACCACAACCGTTCTGGATTTAAATACATACGAGATACAATTAAGCAAAACTAAACTTATTTGACATAATTATGCTACAACAATAATGCCAATAAATCTTAGTTCTGGCTAGTAAAAAGAATAAGGCCTTTGACAATGAGTAGCCCCTGCATCTGGAACCAGCTTCATCCCACTGTAACTCACAAGATGCTGTTGTTGAGTTGGAACAGAAAAGTGCGATGACTTCCTTTGACAAAGTTAAGAAAATACCACTGCTGGATCAACCTCATAAGAAATAGCTATCCTCTAAATCTTTTAAGTCTAAATAATGGTGTAAAATAGGGAAATAATGCAGGAAAAAGCTGGCTTTACCTGCATGTACAAAGTGATCAGTCATTTTTATCTTCTGATTTGAATTACACTTACTATTAAGAAAACTTATGTTAGGCTGAAGTCATATTTTGCTAGAAGTCAAGCACTTAGTTTAATTGTACCCATATCAAGAAGGTTTTTAGTCCAAGCTAAGCTGAGAAAAGAAATGGTGGAAGGTAACAAGAGGGACAAATGAATACTGATGTCTGCAAGGTCTTTGCAGAACTAAATAGACTACTGGGACCAGTGCTAAATCCATTTGGTTACTATCAGTTACTTGCAGACATGAGGAAATGTTCTCCATCCAATTTGTCAATGTCGTCTGGTTTATAAATGCTAAGATATTCAATTGGATTGATTAAATCCTTCAAAAGTATTTAAGCTTTAGAAGTTTCTTCCTGAGTTCTGCAAACTAGAATCCTAATTTACCTGTGAAATTGACCATTGTATAGCAACTCTTCTATAACTACATAATATCCTGTGCTTTTAAAATGCTTTTCAAGCAGATGATAACATCATTTTTTTAAGAACTAAAATTTGCAAAAGATAGAGAAAAAAGCTTTAACTTAAAAAGGAACATGGGAGAAACTGGTGTCTCAGATATCAGTTCACAGAAATCTGCACTGATGCAATTCTAAACTCTTGAAAGAAGGACCTGCTAGGGTTTCTGTTGTAAATATTGATGTTTGTCTTTTCCTAGAGCTCTCTCCAGTGACCAGAATGTTTCGAATTCTATTTTGTATGTGTTCATATATTATAGAAATATGGAAATAAAAAAATAAACGAGGATTCAGAGAAAAAGAATTCAATCTCGGAACAGCTTTAAAACATTACAGTAATAATTGATATTGATGTGCAGTAGTGGATAACTAAAGGCCTACTACTCCCACAGAAATAAGAGAAAAAAAGTATCTGAGTTATCTTCATCTATGTAATACCTCATCTTAGAAATACAGGTTAGTAGGACTGGTCCCTGATTCCTTACCTGAATAAATTTAATTCTTAAATTCTAACATCATATGGAGAGGCTGAAGCTTCCCTCCCCCCCGCCCTGGGGTAAGGTGTCATTACAATAGCTATGCCTTTGTATAAAAAGCAGCTGTGTATAACTTGCACACTTCCAATGATTAATGTTGCAGTTATTTCTGTTGTGCTAATGCATAATGCTTCTTGCATTTGCTTTTGTAGGACAAACCTACATCCATCATTGGGGTGTTATCTTGCCAGCTTCTCTGCTGTTTTTATTTAGCTAATTCAACCACTGCTTTACCTAAAAGGATCTAATTAATCGTTATGTTCCTAATCTTGCTTTTATTGAGAACACAGTTAATTAAGTTTAAAAATTGACATGGCAAAACTTGATCCAGACAAATTACCTCAGAGGAAGATTTGTATCAGTAAAAATCTCTGGACTAATACATTGCTGGCTTGTGCAGCTGGTGCTAAAGGACCTTGTGGGTAGCCCCAAGCTGAGGGTGTCTGTGGGGGAAGTGCAGCCATGTGATGCACACTGACTCGTTGAAACTACATCAGCAGGTTAGGAGCTGGAGGATGCCACCAGCCCCTCTAAATGGTTTTGCAGTGAAGGAGGCTGATCTTGAAGGTGATCAATACCCCAGCTCCTGCCCAAATCCATGGCTTTTCCAAGTCTAGTACAGCACTGCTGAAATTAATGGGAATGAGAGGGGGCTTTCCTCACCAGGAATTGTCTGGTGCTATCTGGGACAGCTGCCTTGGAGGCCTTGGCCCTGGTGCACCTTGGCCTGTGAGGGCCTGTGCTGTATGAGAAGCCTGGAGCTGAGCGAGTGGGTAGGCAGGCAGAGTGGGAAGGGGGTATAGAGACTGACAGGATCCTCAAGGAAGACCTGGGGAGACACTGCCTGAGCCCCCACCACTATGCAGCTGTGCTTGGTACAGACAGTCCTGAAATGGCAGAGGCTTGGCCCTTGTGGAAGGTAGCTCCTTCTCCTGCAGATGTACAGGTGTGATGGAGGCTTGGTGAACTGGTAGCTGCTGAGGGGTGGAACCTGTCTGTGGAGACCTTGGAGCCACCCTGCAGCGAGGGTGGTAGCAGTGAACCCCTGCTGCTCCCTTGGGTGCTTGTTGGGCGCCCAGGATGCTGTGGAGAGGCTGTGCAGCTTGACTAGCTCTGGGGCCATTAGCCTTGCTGTGTATCCCTGTGAATGTCAATGGCAGGGCTGCGAGGCCTAGGCAGGATCCTGATAGGATCCACCTGGAAAAAGGCTGCAAGAGCACCTTTGCTAGCTTGCTGCCAGCCGTCTGGGGAGAGCTGGAAACCAGGAGCAGTGGTTACAGGCCACAGTGAAGTGAGGCAGGAGTGGACAGGGTGGAAAATGAGTAATGCAGGGTGGTGGGAGCAGGGGAATCCTCAGGTATGGTAAAACAGGGTTCAGAGGGGCTTATTTTGAAGCAACTGAGACCTGGAAGTGCAGCTCGTGCGGCTGGAGTGGTGCTACAGAAAAACGGGCAGGGAAGGTGGGGAAGAGGAGGAGGATATGAAAAGGACCAGCTTGAGTATCCACAGAGCTGAGTGTGCCAGGCTGGTGGAGAACCCATGGGCAGCGCCATAGAGGTCTGGTCGGTGGGTTTGTTAGTCCAGTTCTTAAACAATTCAGTACTCATGTTGCTACAGCCGCAGGCAAAATGATTACTTCAGGGGGGTTTGCATGAAGTAATTGGTAATACACCTTTAGAAACAAATTAAGAACATTGGACATTTGTTCTGGAAAAATTAACCTGGATTTGAATGTTTTGTTTTATTGTGTCTCTTATTTTTTCCTAATATGATCAGTAGTGAATATATTTAGAAGTTTTTTCCTGCAGTATCTTGCAGGCTGTGCCAATTAGATACAATAATTCATTTAAAGAGTCTGTTGTTCTTTGCAGCTGCTAGATGAGCTGTCTGCTGCTGCAGTCTGAACTCCGCAAATTACTGTAACCTCTGTTTTAAGGGTACTAAGGATCCTGAGCTAACTTGACACCACACTGATGTTCCTGTGGCTGCAGGATAAATAGATGAGATAGAGGTTAGATAGGATTCGGTTCCTGTTCAGTGTGGTGCTAAATAGTCTTGCACACTATTAGATAAAGCTGTAAAGGGCAGAATGCTTGGTTCATTTTGGGCCAGAACTACACCTTTCCAGCATGTTGGAACATATTAGTACAAAGTGGCTGCAGTTATGCCCACGTCGTTTGCTAAATGAGAGGTTCAGAAGCAACTGATGAGATGGTTCCTTTGAAAGGGAGGCCAAGTGGATGAACGAGGAATAAATTCATGTGGTGGCTACTGAAATGTCTGTCTACTGAATACTGGTTTGATGATCTTTGGCAGTATTCCTGAAAGGGTTCAGGGAAGACTAAGCAAACTGAAGTGTTTTGTTCTTTAGAGAATCTTAAGAGAAATTTATCCCTTGCCATATTCCTTTTAATGATAAGTCTCCTAAGTATTTTGAGTCTTAGCTTGTATGTATTTTAGTCTCCTTCCTCAATTAAACGTTGAAGAAAATTGTTGGGAAGCAAATTCCTTTTTTATTCTGGGTAAGGTAAATCAGGTTGCTATGATACAAACTGGTTTTGTGTTTGATTGTTTTCTAGCTGTCCAGCAAATTAGAATATTGCTCATTTGCCCAGCTTTTTACCTCTGCACCAGAAATGTTTACACATGTGAATATTAAAAAAAAGTAAATAAATCTTTGAAGCCTAGATATTGCTTTTACTATAAAAATATTTAAGAGAAAAAATATCTGAATATAGATATATTGTTGTCTTTTGCTAATTCTGGAAACCTTAAAGGTGAAAATAAGCTTCTTTTGTAACATTAGGTATTGTGATACTTAAGTAGAGAGAGACCTACATCTGTGCATTTATATTCTTCAGAGTAATGTGCTCTTACTGGAATTAGATTATTCATATAAAAAGGATGATTGCTCAAACAGAAGTGACCATAATGTGAGGGTTAGAATGAGGTCAAACTTATTTTGCAGGTCTATGGAAACTAATTTCTGACTTTCCCATAGACTGCAATGTGCATTTATTTACCTTGGCCTGTAAGTAGTTTACAAAATATTAATGATAGTATTAAACCCAAGTCCTCAATTAGATATACACTCCTATATCACAGAAGAATTGGTATAAACTTCTTGCCATATTTTGACATGTTGTAATGGTTTAAAACCAGTCAGGCAACTTGTTCACTCACTCCCCCCTTCTTGCCCTCCCCCTACTCCAGGAGGGACTGAGAGGAGAATTGAAAAGAATGCAACTCCCACGGGTTGAGATAAGAACAGTTTAGTAACTAAGGTATAACACAAATCACTACTGCTACCACCAATGATAATAATGATAAAGGAAATAACAAGGGAAAAGAATAAACACCTCACCACCAGCTGACTGATAACTTGCCCCCCAGCCTGACCAAGCACCAACTAATACCTCCTCCAACCCCGCCATATACTAGCCCTTCCAGGTGACTCTCAGTTACATCCTGGGCAGGACATGCTGTGGTATGGAATACCTCTTTGGTCAGTTTGGGTCAGGTGTCCTGTCTCTGCTTCCTCCCGGCTTCCCCTCCTCCCTGGCAGAGCATGAGGCTCACAAAGTCTTTGGTCAGACTAAACGTCATTGTTATCAGCTCTGTTCCCAGGCCGAAAGTCAAAACACAACACTGCACTATCTACTAAGAAGGAGAAAAAATGACTGCTCCTGCTGAACCCGGGACACATATCAAGTAAAGATTTAATCTCAGAGGTACATAATTCACGCACAAAAAGAATAGTCAACATAATAATAATCATGAGTAGTTTATTTGGTGAATTTTCAATCAGTTGTGGTATCAATAATTTATGTGTGAATTTCAACAATGCATACATTACCATTTCTAAAGAGTGATAACATCTTGTCGGAGAACGTGGGAGCTCCAACTGTGTAATGAAGCAAGTACGGTTTAGGACAGGTCAGACAGAAAGAGCTTTATTAACTCCAATCATCGTGAGACAGCATTTGGAAGGCGCCTCCCCGCTGCTGCCAAGTGATTGCAAATCCAACCTATATACTGTGTCAGAGAAAGAAGAAATAGGAGAAAAACCCCAGTAATATCAGTAACAAAGCCAGGTATCCATCCCTGTGGCGTGCAGACTCCTTAACTACCTTGTTAACAGCCGCTATTCTAATCATGAAGCTATGGAGAGATGGCTCTTGTTGGAGCCTGGGGTAGCACATGCTACGTTGGCTTTGTTTAGAAGTTGGGAGTTGAGAGCATTCTCTGGTCATTGATAGCTTTTAGGTGAAGGGGATTTTCCTTTAGTAACACCTTCATTTAGCCACACCTCTTAATAATATTAACATGCCTCTTAAAACATTAATAGTTTTGCCACCACAGTCTGAATCCCTATCACACTTGGGTTTTTCCCTGCTGCATGCAAGTGCTGCAATAAGTGGGTTGAAATAATACTGTGCAGCTTCCCTGGCCGATCGTGTGGACAGTGTTGCTTGAGGAATTGAGATGAAGAATTTAATTGTTTGCACTATAATCAACAGCAAAGAATGGCAAATATGAAAATGAGTGCCATGAGGTTTATATCGGGTTAGGTGGCAACGCAGGCTGCTTCCTGTCTAGTAGAGACACCGTGCTGGCTATGTTATGCTCTCAGATCCTGCTTTACATGTGCTAGGAAAATACATTGGACTCGTGTATATACAGAATACATACACTTATACAGTATATGTGCTAATGCGTCAAAGAAACTCGTGTTAGAGCAGGGATGTTATGAGTCCCAAAATTGGAGCAAAACCATTTTATGATGTTGAGTGGTGTGAGAGGGACTAACATCCTTGTCTTCTTACATTTGTCATTGTTGCAACCAGACTCAATTACCTGAATTCTCTTAATGCTAGTTATCTGCTGGTATCTGCTCCCTCCCATGAGAGGGGGGCCAGTACAACTCCTTATCTCAGTTTATTGATGTGGGCTTTGCAACAACTTGTTAATCAATTGCTTGCAATTGCAATTCGATAGCACTTTTCAGACATGTATGTTATTCCCCCCTCCCTCCCCGTGTCTGGGATTTCTTCTGTTGTCTAAACTCAGAGAAAAATAAGGAGAGAGTAACCTGAGATCAGGGCAGATCAGTTGTGGGCTGTATTCAGCAATCACTGAGACCGTCTAGAAGCAACTGATGCAGAGGGCTGACCAATGTACAGGGGGGTTGTAAAGGGGGGATAAAGGAATTTTGCCTGTTTAACAGAAAGCATTGTTTGCAAATACCTGTCAAGCTTGCCATGCAGTACCAGGACAATAGGCTATTGATAAGGGGGAGAAACAGTCTGGTAAGGGGAAGAAAGAGACTGATAAGGGGGAGGAACAGTTACTTAGTTCCAGTGAAGACCAGCTTCATGGTTTGGACTTTGACCAGACTCCTAAAGAGCATGTGTGATGGCTAGAGGTGAAAAGTTCACGCTCGAGGAAGACTCATTTACTTCATCTTGAAGACCCCTACTCACAAGAGGATGACTCATTTACTTCATCTTGAGACCCTCACCCATGACCCCGGGGGGGGGGGGGGGGGGGGGGGGCACTGCGCAGGCTCATTATAATACGAAGTGGGGATAGGACATGAATATGTATAGGGCATATTGGGCAACCTCATGAATATATATAACTTTAGAGAATAAATGTAGAAGGAAACAACACTGAGGCGCGCATGCCTTTGGAAGCGCTATCCCCTGTGCGTCTCAGCGCTGAATAAAAGCATACCTACTTTACAACTTTAACCAGTTGTGTAGTCTATCTGCGTATCACAACCAAGAAGTGATTTATTTAGTTTTGTTGCATTAATGTTCAATGATTTTCCCCCAATTATTTTGATGCCCATAATTCCTATCTGTTGTCTTTATACTGTTGACTCTTTAAGCAATCTTCTAGAGACAGGAGGTGAATTACCTTAGTTGGCTTCAATTGGACACACAGATTGGTTTTGAATGTACATAGATTTGGTATCTAACAGCATGTATCTGGCAATTTGCATACAGGGAAGATGAAGGTGTGCTGAAGCTTGTTATTCAATATTGGTTTGAGAGGGTTGTGTTTCTGTTCCTCGTTTTTAGCCTGTTATCGTACTACCACGTCTACATTACAGGGCTTGAGTTTCCCCCGTTGATTACGTTTTCTTTTAATCTTCAGAAAGCTTACGAAAATCTTTCTTGGCAGTTTTCAACTGTTGCAAACGGGTCTCTAGTCAGCTGCTGCCACAGCTAAGTTTTTGCCAGGACTTTCTTTAACCTTTATTGCTGTAAAGACTGGGCTGATGGCTGCTTACTGTCTGTTATCTGAGACATGAACGAGAATCGGTTACTTGACTTAAGGTTGTTGTTTTGTTGCTTTTTTTTTTTCTTAATATTTATATCTGTCTTACATTGGTTTAGTCACATACGTCACCTGCGTTATTACAAATTTAAATTAATGTTTTAATTTTACATTTTAAGCTTTGTATTCCTTGATGTCCCCTTGGTTTCCTGTTTTTAGATCTTTTCATCGATGTACACAGGCTTGCTACAATTTTAAAGCATTTGGCAGTAAGCATACAATTAAGTAAATTTGTAAAACAAATTAATTCATAACGTTGTTATTAAATTAAGTGAAGGGTAGCAAATTATGAAAATCTACAATTTTGTAGATTTTGTGAATTATGTTCTCTATCATGCATTTCTGAGGTGAAAAAATAGGAATGCTTGAGAATTAAAATTTCAGTCTATTCAGTGTTTGATTATTTAAATGAAGCCTCATGGATCTGGTTGGCTTATGGCACTCTCCAGAATTGGATGTTGGAGAACAAATTTACATCCAAAAAAAAAAGGTACAGTAACCAGTCTTATGCTAATTGTGGATGTTATTTTGTGCAGCACATAATGAGATCTCAGCTGTAAGAAATGAATATAATTGTTTATATTGTCCCAGCTGTGTGTAAGTAACACCATCCTAAATTGGCTGTATTTCGGCGGCAGTGAGCTTCACACTATCAAGTTTAAACCACACTATTTCACCCCCTTTTACTTGAAATAGCAGTTAGATATTCTGAACACCTCTGCAAGAGAAGTAATGCCAAAGAAATGATTTTGTTTGCAATGCAGGTACTTTTTCCAAGCAATCGCCCTTACAACTTCAAAAAACAATTTTGTCTGGTTTGTCTCATTGGAGCTGTTATTGAATAAGGTTCTTGTAGCCGTGCTCAATATTTCAGGATTTGAGTCCCAGATAAAATATACTTCATCACATAGTTTCACTGCTCACATTTTTTCTGTATTTAAATAGAACTGAACAGGATGTTTTAGAAGAACATGCTTCATCTAGAAATGCCAATTTGTCAAAACCGGAATTGTGTGGGAAAGGCTGATTTGATCCCCCCCCTTTTTTTTTCCTTCCCTCCCCTGTGGAAGAAGCTTTAAGAAACAGATTTCAACTGCTGAAAGCTTCACATTTCAACATTTTCAACATGCAAATGGCAGTTTTCTTGGCTTGCAAAAACATTTAAGTAAATGCAGTAAGAATAAAAGAAATGCAGAGAATTTTAAGAGAATGAAATCATTCTGGTGAAGTAAATCAACCTTTAAGTACTTAAGACTTTAATTAGACTTTATGGTTCTGCATTCACATTGTTTTCAGCACTCTT